GTTCGTTATTCTCGAGAGAACCGTTTGTTTTATCTTCTTCCAATTTTTGGGAAGAAGGTTTGTTGGTATTTCTTTCAACACTTCCTTGTTTTGCATGTTCTTTGTTTTGTTGTGTTATTTACAGTTCGCTTTATTGTTTCTTTAGAAAAAAGTTTCTATTCGTCTTGATTTTTTTAAATATAATTATTAGAATAAGAACTAAACAATAATAGTTGAAAACAAATAATTGTGTCGCTCTTTATTGTTAAATTAAACTCATTTATTGTATATAGAAACATCACTATATGAAACTTGGTACTGTTATATATAAAGTTAATAAACTTAAACGCAGTGAAATCATTAAAGCATAGTAAATTTTCTCTGTGAAAAATACCACAAGGGGAAGCTTCTATCATGTCTAATACAAAGATATTTATTCAATAGTGAATCAATATATAGACCACTTAGAACACTATAAAATGAGACTACCCTATCATACTTTCAAAGAAGTAACAGGTTATACTTATTATTCAATACAATTTGTAAACACAGTTTAACAACTTAAGTAAACAACTTTTATACAGCATCCTAAATACTTATATGTTGTAATTAGTGATTGTGGATATGTGTTTAAAAATTAAAATATTTATTCCTTGTTTTTTCCATTCGAATAAAGTTTTGTTTAAAAGATTAATAGTAAAACAACTTTATTGAAATTATCTAAAAAGCTATAAAACAGAGTTTAAAGACTCATAGAAAAGCATCTAGTAATAATTGAACCCTATAATGTCGGAGTATCAACAACCTATTCCTGATGTTCAAAAAGATATTAAACAAGCCGAAAACGTGAAGGAACACCCAATAAGATTCAACAAATACGAACAGAAAAGCCCAGATTACGAAAAATACTACACTCTTCAAAACATTGTTCCTCCAGAAGAGCTTTCATTGTTTATCGAAACCATCAAGAAACCGCTTCCAACTTCTTTTAGACTTACAAGGTCTTCCGAGACTTTTCCAAAAGTGAAAGAGTCCATTGAGGAAATTATTCAGAGCATCCCAGATGAGTTAAAACCCGAGACTTTTACATGGAACCCTTACACTTATCAACTCAATGTTGAAAGAAAACAAGTTAGAAAGTGTGCTCAATATGAGAAATTACACAAGTTCATGGTGTTGATGAATGAAGCTGGAGAGATCTCAAGACAAGAAATAGTGTCGATGATACCTGCACTTCTTCTTGATGTGCATGAAGGAATGAGTGTCTTGGACATCTGCGCAGCGCCAGGATCAAAGACATCACAACTTGTTGAAATGACTGGGAAGAATGGATGTGTCGTTGCAAATGATGCAGACAGACAAAGAAGTTATTTATTGACGCACCAAACGAAGAGACTGTCAATGCCGCATGTTGTAATCACCAACTACAAAGCACAGGATTTGTGTTTTGAGGATTACAAGTTTGATCGAATGTTGTGTGATGTACCATGTAGTGGCGATGGAACTATTCGAAAGAATGTTGATGCTCGAACTTGTTTCCACCTCATGAACGCATATGTCATGCACCGCGAGCAAATTGACATTATGAAGAATGTGATATGTCACTTGAAAGTTGGAGGGAAGTTTGTGTATTCCACATGCAGTTTAAATCCAATTGAAGACGAGGCGGTCGTCTCTGAAATCCTTCGCACGTATGGTGACGCGGTTGAGTTAATTGATGCACGAAACACACTTCCAGGTCTCAAGTACAAACAAGGCATTTCTACTTGGAAAGTATTTGACAAGAATTACACAGAAGTCACTGGGAAAACCGACAACATTCCAATTACAGCTCTTCCACCAAGTGAAGACGAAGCCAAAAAGTTCCATTTGGAGTATACTCTTCGCATTTTACCACACTTGCAGAACACAGGCGGATTTTACACCGCAGTCTTTGTTAAAAAGGGCGAAACCCCAAAAATTGAGAAGAAAAGGAAATGTGGAGCAAAAATGGAACAACAAGTGGAGGAGAAGTTTGAAAGAAATAAAGAGGAGGTGGATCGGTGTTTGACTGGAGAGAAAGTCGAAATAAAAGAAAAGAAGCCAACAAAACGAAGAAGAGGAATGGCACCTATAGACGATCAAGAGTTTAAACCGTTGTGCTCTATGCCAAAGGGTGATGAAATTTTCAAGCAATTGATCGAGTTTTATAAAATGCGAGCGGACTTTCCTCAAGAGCAAATGTATGTCATTGGTGATGATTGTTTGAGTGTCCACTATGTCTCCTCAGAGGTGGTTAAAGCGACACATGGATTAAAAATAGTATGTGGTGGTGTGAAAATGTTTAAGAAGCACAAGAGTGAGTTGGTTGAAGCCTACCGAATGGTGTCTGATGGTGTTCGCATCATCTCTGAGTTTGTTGGAAGTGAAAGAACAATAGAACTGACCCACCAAGAGTTCCTCAACATCCTTCAAGACGACATCAAACTTGATTCCTTGAGACAAAAAGTAGAAGGCAATGGGTGTTATGTGATGAAAGTGGTCGATGGAATTTTGCAAGGAAGTTATTTCTCTGGGTGGGTAGGTAAAGTGTTTCTCTCGTGTTTGATTCCAAAGCAAGACATGGAAGCACTGCAATTTCTTTTTGGTGTCACAGACAAGAGAAAGAAGCTTGTTAAAAAGGGCGCCAAAGATGAGAGTGAAGCACAAAAGGATAAAAAAGTGGAGTAAATAATTAGTTTTATTTTATAGTATAATTAAACTATATCATTTAAACTATAATATAGTAATTAAGTGATAAAATGAACTGGAGTGAAGAAACTTGAAAAAGGTGTATCTGTCTATCTATTTCAGTTGATGAATATGTTGTTTCTACTGTTTATCTTAAGTCAAGCACAACTCGAATTGGTCAACATATTTGTTGGTACGGAGAACAAGTTGGATGAAGTCAGTAATGGCAATGTCTATCCATGTATAGGGATTCCTTATGGTAAGCAGTGTGTAACATTTCAAACGGAATACTTTACACGACCAGAAATCTTCAATTACAAAACACGGTCGTTTTATGGGTTTAAAATTACACACCAGCCAAGTCCATGGATTAAAGATTATAATTCTGTGCTCTTTACTCCAACATTAAATGGATCGTTTTATAACTCAGTATACAGTTCGGCGTATTTCGTGAAAAGAGCACAACCAAATTATGCGGAAATATACGTTGGTGGAGTGTTGACAAAAGTCACTGCAAATCGACATAACGCGGTGTTCACTTTTTATACATCGCGGGAAACGACGATGTATCTGTATTTTCCAATTATTGAAGGAGAGTATTTGCTCCAACACAAAAGCGACCGAACACTCCATTTAAAACTGAGAAATGGAAACGCCCCAAAGAACTACTACTTGTATGCAACACTCCATTTCTCAAACGATATTTTGTCATTTGAGTGTATTTCAGGTAAAGTGTATGTTCAATCATTTGAAGTTCCAAAGTCCAACAATCAGATGCAAAACTACTGTCGACTCGCAATAAGTCCAAATGTCACAATGACTGTGTCCACGAGTTTTCTTTCCCATAAAATGTCCGATTTTCTCCTTGACAACTCGAGTTTTGAGTATGTGCAGATGCAATCAGAAAAGTTGTGGCAAAGTCAGTTCGACAAAGTAAAAATTGTGACATCCAATATAACTCGGAAGAGTACATTTTACACCAATTTATATCGCACTATGGTCTTTCCTCATGAAATCAGTGAGGGGAACATCTATCAGTCACCAATCGATTTAAAAGTACACACCGGAAAATTTTATAACGACTTTGGCTATTGGGACGTCGCGCGTGGGTCATTTCCATTGATCACTTTGCTTAACACGGAAATAGCTCGAGGGATGCTAGAGAGCACACTTTCTATATTTGAACAAAGTGGGAATCTGCCGCAGTGGATGTCTCCGGATAAGCGGGAGTGTATGGTAGGCAATTATGCGGATTGCGCCATTGCGGATGGCATCTGCAAAAACATCATTTCAAAGGACAATGGTTGTGCAGAGAGTTATTTGAAAGCAATGGCGAGCGACAAGAAGCAAGAGAGGAACAATGCGGTAGGTCGCGATGGGGGTGATTTTTTCAAGCAATTTGGATATGTCGAGGATCGGTTTTCTGGGAGTGTATCGAAAACGCTTGATTACAGATACAGCGATTTTTGCATATCACGAGCGATTGAATGTACACATCGCAATATGACAATCGAAGAGAAAAAGGCGAACAGACAAAGAGCGATCCTTTATAGTGTGTTGTACGACTTTGAAACAAAAGAATTTCGAGGGAAAAACATATACGGGGAGTTCACGAGCCACGATGGATATCGATGGGGCGATCCCTTTGTGGAGGGGGGGCCTAAACAGTATTTATTTAGTGTACCACACGATATCATCGGATTGAATTCTCTGTTTGGAGGAAACAAGGAAAAGCGGATTGAAAGTTTGGTGAAAGATACGTCATATTTCAGGCTTGGGAGTTATCAAATACTTATACACGAGATGGTAGAAATGGCGAGAAACAAGATGGGGCAGTACACCCATGGAAATGAACAGATGCACCATGTATTGTATGTTAAAGAAAACAAAGAAAAGTTGCTTCGAAAAGTACTCACAGAATTATATGACAACACTACACAAGGCTTTTGTGGGGATGAGGACAATGGGCAAATGTCGTCGTGGTACGTTTTAAGTTCATTAGGGTTCTATCCTGTGACACTCAGTACAAACCAGTTCGTTATCGGGTCGCCTTTATTCGACAAAGCAACCGTCACATTGAATGACAAAGTGCTTGAAATCGACGCACGAAATAATTCCGACATAAACGTGTATGTTGACAAAATCGAGGTGAATGGCACAAGATACACAAAAACGTATTTTGAGTATGATTTACTCATGGGCGGTGGGAGTATTACATTTTACATGAGAGACTCTTTCAAACGTAGAAAACTGATTGAAAGTGATAAAATGTATTCAGTGCAACGTGATAGTGAAACAACACCACTTAAAACAGTGAGTAAATTAAGGAATATGTTATGGTAATAATAGTATTAGTATTATTAGTATTATAATAATTGATTTTGATTGTGTCTTTAAATTTTTAATATTTTAATTTTTTCTCTTCTTCTTTTTTGGACCTTGAAAAAAAAAATATTTTTATTACTAATGCAAACAAATTAAATTTAAAAAAATAACTCGCCAAAAATTGAGGCACAATCGTTTAATAAAAAAATAAGAAACCAAGTCGATCTCTTAAATTATAAATGACCGAACATATAGAATGCTTTTACGATATTAACAACTTCAAAATCTTCTCAAGAGAATGGCAAACAAAACCCCCCAAAGCGATGATTGTTTTACTCCACGGGTATTGTGGACATTCCGGGAGAATGGACAGACTCTCTGAAAAGTTAGTGGCTTCTGGAATTTTACTGTGTGCGCCAGACCACCCGTATCATGGAAAGTCTAGCGGCGAACCCCGTGCGTACATCCCATCCATTCAAGTATATATTGATGTTGAAAATACATACATTGACATCGTAAAAGAAAAATATAACAGTGACGGGAAGATCCCGATGTTTGTCATGGGGCATTCAATGGGTGGGCTTATTGCTTCAATTCTTTCGCATAAGAGAAACGACTTGTCTGGAGGAATCGGGAGTGCACCAGCATATCAAATCAACAACTTCCTTGTCCTGTGGTTCTATTACTTTTTCGCTTTAATTGTGTATTTCTTCCCATTCCTTAGTGTTCCGGGGAAGGTCACACGAGCTGATTTCCCAACTGAAAGTGCGATGAAGTCGTACTTAAGTGATCCTCTCATAACCGAAGGGAAACACTATATCAAAAGTGCGATTGAAATGGCTTGGGCTGGGGACAATGAAATGAAAACAAAGACAACTATCCCGTTTTTGTTGTACGGAGGGAATGCAGATCGATCAGTCACAATGAAAGGAATGAACACAAAGGCGACCAATTTGAATAATGAAAAAAGTAAAGTGATTGTATACGAAGGGAAGTCACACTGTTTGTATGAAGAAGATAATTTAGACGAACAGGTTGATAACATTATGAAATGGATAAGTAATTTGAGTTATTAACATTTTTAAGTTTCAAAGTTCTAATGATATAGTTTCTATTTAAAAAT